TGCATGATGAAGAGGGACCCAGGAGTCATCTTGCACCCTCCAGCAACAACATGTCTTTTCCTGTCATGAACTGCAAGAGCACTACCGCAGGTTGCTATGGCAACGTTCAGCGCCCCATGGCAACCCGCGGCAATCCTATTGCAGCTCGCGAGAGGAAAAGAGGGTGCAAAAATGACTACTGGATCCCTCTTAGGAGTGATCCCTGCTATAGCCACCGGACCGCCAGGGAAATGTTTTCCCCCTTCCTGGCAACAGGTAGGAGGCAGGGAGGGGGGAAATACTATGGTGTGGATGCAGTGTGGGTGTAGTGCATTTAGTGTGTGTGGATGCAATGTGTGTATTTTGGATGCAGTGTCTGTTTGTGTAGTGCATGTACTGTGTGTGTTTGTTATGTGAGATAAGTACTGGGGGAATGGGGGTGCAGTTTTCTTAATTAGTTGGGCTTATTCCCCCTTCACTGCCTCTTGCCAGTGGAGGGAAGTGGGGAATAAGCCAAACTAATTAAACAAAACTGCACCCCTCTTCCCCCAGTACTTATCCCACACAACAGACACTGCATCCACTAGACAAACACACACTGCATCCATTAGACACACACTGCATACACACACACTACATGCACTACACAAACACACTGCACCTACTACAGACAGTGGATTCACTATAAAAACACACACACCATGTACCTGTCTACCTGCATGTGTATCTGTGTGTGTTTGCATCTGCGTATCTGTATGTATGTCTGTATTTGTTTGTGTGTCAGTGTGTGTATCTGTATGTGTGTTTATCTATGGGCGACTATGTCTGTGTATCTGCATTTGTGTATCTGTGTGTCTGTTTGTATCTGTATGTGTGTTTGTAGCTCTGTATCAGTGTTTGTGTCTGTAGCGGCATGTGTAACGGTGTGTCTGTACCTGTGTGTTGATGTTTCTGCATGTGTGTACCTATGTGTCTGTGTATATGTATGTGTGATTATGTATCTGTGTGTGTGTCTGTATATCTGTCTGTCAGTGTGCATCTGTATGTCTATATATCTGCAAGTGTATCAGTGTGTGTGTGTGTGTGTGTGCACACACCTCAGCATCTTGCCAACACTACACACAAGTACACCCATGTATTCAAACCTCAACACTACATACAAACACAACTTAGTATTAAAACACCACTATTATATATACACACCACAGTAGGAAAAAAAACACAACACACAATTGCACGCCTGCATTCAAATGCCAACACCACATACACACACACTCCTACATTCACTCACATACTACATACAAAAACATGCTTACATTCAAACATACAAGCACTGCTCAATGCTAAATACATTAAAAACATGTTGCGTTTTTTTCCTTTACATTTTAAAATTGTGTAGGGATACCCAATTTAGGATCCCTCCCGAGTGCCAAACGCTCTATGTACGCCCCTGCTCCTAATAATAATGTATTAACCCCATACTGCTTTGATGCAATCCCTCAGTATGACTAACGAGCCCTTTTCCTTAGAGTAAAAAGATAGCCAAAGGGCCAAACCGCAGAGTAAGGTGAACTAAAAACAGATGCACATATGATGGAAGTTACAGTACATAACATTACGTCTGTAATATTGCTGCAATTACCCAGGACTTTGGCACATTGTGCACTTTTATATATGATGTAAACCAATCACTAACTAAATTGCTCCATAATAAGGCTCGCAATACACCAAGTGAGATACTGTGGGGGTCGTCTAATATAAATTATATGCATTTATTTAGCAATTTGTGTGCTGTTTTTTTTTTAATATGAAAATTGCAACAAACGGAAATTATTTGATGATTAAATTACCCACAATAAAGCTTAATTTGAGTTCATACGAGTTTTCCAAGAGAAAACTTACAAAATGATATACATTTATGGATTTTTGAATGTGTGAGCTATTATTTAGCTGTACAAAATACACGGAAAAAAAATTAAATGTGCATATGAAACATTCAAACTCTTCTTGGATTCTTTGCAATGCCTTTCTGTGTTTCCGTACCTGCTTCCTGCCCCAGCTCATTCTTCTCTGAAATATTTGGTATAATCGAACTTAAATTTGCCTCTATACTTACTGGTCAGTTCCATCTGCCCTGGCTGTGGAACCAGAATAACCTTGCTTAACCCTAAACATTTGCATTCTGCATTCAGACCATTCCGGTAGTAACAGTTCTAGCTCTTTTTCTGCCAGTGGCCTACCCCCTCTCCACTCCTCCCCAAAAATGCACGAGGATAACTAGCGGACGAGCATCCAACCCATAGGTTCCCATGATGTCCACCTGCCACAAATCCGCTCTGGGAGGCAGGGGGCACAGTGGCTAATAGCGGATGCCTTATTTACACCCAGAGCAACTGTGTTATCATTATTGTGCCTTGGCTGTGAACACATGGCTACATGTATACTAGAATGCCCTTTTGGTACCTGACCCTTGGCCTGGCTTGTCATGTGACCCATTGCTGCCTGGATTTACTAGCTTAAATGTTTGACTATGTCTCTTGGATGACCTCTACTGGTTCTGTTTGCCCTGGACCTTTTCTTATGCTGTAACGTAAGTAACCTACTGTTTTCTGGGTTCTACCTACCAAAGCCCCGACACAATGTATCAATAAGAAAAATGATAAAGGATGACAACTGGGTTAAAACCCTGAGACACTAACTCATTAATCCAGTTAGAAACCAGAGACAAGCATGGAATATTTGGCCTCCTCATTAAAGCAATATCTGCAGAGACACGTTTAGATTACAATCATAATTGGAGGCTTGCCGAGTGGTCTTTTCCTTTGTGCATTTTCCATGTAGAGTCATAACAATTTGCAATAAATACAAATAACGCAATGTGTTCCCCAGCTTAGCATTTATGAAGATGATAGTGTCAGTTTATTATAATGTATTAAAATGTATTCCTTTTTAATTACATGCACATTTGCTGGACATTTGTGGGGACATTATGACCTTATTACAGATGTGCTAATTTATTTTGCCATGTTCCTGGATCTCGTGCTTAATTTTAGAATAAATCTGACCATTTCTTCTCTTCATTTAAGTTTTTTTTATAGTGAACTATTTTTAGTCCCACTAATTGCAATAAAAACATGTTTTGCCCAAAGTATTTCCTTTATATTTTTAGTGCTGTCTTTTGTTCGTTTTGAAACATTGATGTGCAGTGTTTTTTTTTTGTATAAATTACCATTTTAAATTATACATTAGAATAATATAAGATACTATAATAATAATATAATACAATATTAGAATATAATATAATACAAACTTGTATATGAATTTGGCAAAATTCATTTGCTTGCATCTCTCCATCTCCTTCTGAGTTACCATAGGCCACTTGGTTATTTCTCTTCCTAATGCCCTTTTTATAGTGAATTTAATATGCTCTTGCAGATGTTCAAAGTAAGAGATATTTGGACCTGCTTGGATTTGGACATACCTTTTTTCCTTATTATTTATATATAATCTAGATCAAATTCTAGGGCCCCTCATTTTTTTTTTTTCAGATAAGATTTGACACCTTAGTTGCTGAGAGATGGACTTTATTCAACTCATTATTTTTTTATTTTTTTTTGCAGAGTATAATGCACACACTAAAAAAGGTAAATACTTCCTGCAGGGTGCTCCAGAAAGGGAGGGACAATCACTGGAGACATCACATGAAGTAATGAAATATCCAGGCACCCCTGAGGTTTCTTCTAAAAGGCAGTCTTTTTATTTGAAACAAGAAAGTAGAGCTCCTCTCTGAGCTGAAACTCGATAAAGGCTCAGAGAGGAGCCGAAACGTTGTCTCCATTTTCTTGTTTCAAATAAAAAGACTGCCTTTTAGAAGAAACCTCAGGTGTACCTGGGTATTTCTTTTCTTCCATTTATTTAACTAATCTCAAATAAAGTCAGCGTGCAACCTTACAATCTACAACGAATGCCACGGCCAGACTCATGTATCTAACCTCTAACTTTCTGTCAATCCTTTACACTGGCTCCCTATTCCCAGGTTTCAAATAGTAGTTGTTACAAAAGATCACTTCATAACAGTGCCTCAGCCTATCTTCCCCAATAAAAAAATTTTACCCCATCCCGACCTTTCTTTTTTGAGTTAGCTCCTGCATGTCGGCCAGCAGAGGGAGAGGTAAGTCCCGGTTTATTGAGCTTCGCCCAGCATTGCTTACAGATGCAATCGAAGGTATGACGGACCGTCCACCAATCGATACTCCTAGCGCATACCAAGGACCATCAGCACCGCACCGGACATCATAGCCACCACAGATTCCACAAACCGCCGTAGCTTGGTTGGGGTCTCGCCGTCTCCTTCCCACCCTGGTCCAACCTCTGGACCCAGGACCGTGTGGGAAGGACCTCTCCTCCAGGAGTGTATAGCTGAGGGAAGGACCTCTCCTCCAGGAGAGTATAGCTGTATAGCTGAAGAGAGCTCTGACAAGAGCTAGCAGTGATATAGCAGGTATAGCTGTTCGCTACAACACGAGACGAGGCTGCAAGTTGAGGGTAAGAAGGTCTGCTTTATTGAGCACAAAGGCATTTCTTTTATACACATTTTCAGGCCAGAGGCACACCCCCTGGACCTGATGGAACACAGTGACAAAAGGGACACAAACCAATAGGAACAATAATTATCATAGTAACACTCCCACATACAGTCAGCCCTCCTCTCTGCCTGTGATACAATTAACAAAGACAATAGACTAACACAATTAACTTTAGCAGAAAAAACATACATTCTTACAAACCCCCAAAAATACCCCAAAATACAACATATCCCCACAAAGTCTGGGTGAACAACATATCCAAAAATCACCCAGATCGGTTGAGGGGTTCAGGAATTTCCGTGAAGTCTTATTTCACATGGTCCCATGCCCAAAACAGTTCCATACACTCAACGACAAAACACTGCTGGATAATTTAAGATGGCCGCCACCACATGTTTGAATCTGTTCCAGTACTTTGAGCATGGGTTATCACAGGGCCCATAGTCCCAGGGTAGGAGGCTGGCAAGCAGGCCCCTCCAAAACCTCATGGCAAACTCCCTTAAAAAGGGGAGTTTGTAACAGAAGGCTTAGGAGGAACCTCTGTACAGAAGTAGACAACCACATGGTGAAGTTGCTGTGAGGGCCCAAGCCAGGTCAGTAGAGAGGATAGACGCCATCTTAAATGGTAGTGGTGGCTGCTTTACCTCTTGGGGGTAAATCATACTATGTCCTCTTGTTGTGATAGTTCTTTTAAATATATTCTCCTCCTTTACTGTGTCGATTCCCTTTATGTATTTAAATGCTTCTATCATATCTTCCCTGTCTTGTCTTTCCTCCAAGCTATACATGTTAAGATCCATTAACCTTTCCTTGTAAGTTTTATCCTGCAATCCATGAACCAGTTTAGTAGCCCTCCTCTGAACTCTCTCTAAAGTATCAATATCCTTCTGGAGATATGGTCTCCAGTACTGCGTACAATACTTCAATTGAGGTCTCAACAGTGTTCTGTACAATGGCATGAGCACTTCCCTCTGTCTACTGCTAATACCTCTCCCTATACAACCAAGCATTCTGCTAGCATTTCCTGCTGCTCTATTACATTGTCTACCTACCTTTAAGTCATGTGAAATAATTACCCCTAAATCCCTTTCCTCAGATGTTGAGATTAGGACCAGGGACATATTTGCCGCGAGGCAAACAAGGCATTTGCCTTGGGTGGCAATTTCTAGGGGGCGTTTAACGTTTGCCTCGTTTTATGGGAGCCAAAGAGCTGGCCACCTTTTGGGCTCCCCTGGGTGGTCGGGCAGGCAGGCGGTGAGGGAGCACTTTCCCCTGAGCTCTCTGCTCAGCTCCCTCGCGCGACCTGCAATGATGCCGGGAGCCGGAATATGACGTCATATTCCAGCTCCCGGCATCACTCTGCAGCACTCGAGGGAGCTGAGCAGAGAGCTCAGAGGAAAGTGCTCCCTAGCCGCCCGCCCGCCTGCCTGCACGTCTGACCGCCTCCCTGCCCAGCAGCCCCACTGGACCCCAGGTGAAATATCCACCCAGCTATCCCTAAAGTAGGGAGGCTGGGTGGATTTCAATTAAAAAAATAATAACATTAATAATAGTTAGTGGGGAAATGTATGTGTGTGTCAGGGAATGTGAGTGTGTGGCAGTGAATGTGAGTGAGTGTGTGTCAGTGAATGTGAGTGTGTGGCAGTGAATGTGAGTGTGTGTGAGTGAGTGTGTGTCAGTGAATGTGTGCCAGTGAAAGCGTGTCAGTGAATGTGAGTGTGTGTGTCAGTGAGTGAATGTGTGTCGGTCAGTCAGTGTGTATGTGTCGGTCGGTGAGTGCGTGCATCTGTCAGTGAGTGCGTGCATCTGTCAGTGAGAGTGTGCCTCTGTCAATGAGAGTGTGCATCTGTCAGTGAGTCTGTCAGTGAGTGTGTGTCTGAGTAAGTGTATGTCTGCCTATCAGTGTGTCAAATCAGTGAGTATGTGTATGTCATTGTCAGTGTATATGAGAGTGTGTCTGTCAATGAGTGTATGCATCTATCAGTGAGTGTGTGCGTCTGTCAGTAAGTGTGCATCTGTCAGTGAGTGAGCGTCTTTGACAAGAATGGGTTGGGAAAATTTTAATTGGGGGGGGTGCCCAAGCACCGTCCTGCCTAGGGCAGCATAAATCCTAAATACACCACTGGTTAGGACTCTATCAAATACTCTATACTCTGCCCTTAAGTTTTATGTCCAAGATGCATTATCTTGCACTTATCCACATTAAATGTCAGTTGCCACAACTCTGACCATTTTTCTAGTTTACCTAAATCATTTGCCATTTGGCTTATCCCTCCTGGAACATCAACACTGTTACATATTTTTGTATCATCAGCAAAAGGACATACCTTACCATCAAGACCTTCTGCAATATCACTAATAAAAATATTAAAGAGAATGGGTCCAAGTACAGATCCCTGAGGTACCCCATTGGTGACAAGCCCATGCTTCGAATATACTCCATTGAGTATGTTGCCTGTCACTCAGCCACTGCCTTACCCATTTAACAATATTGGAAACCAAACTTAAAGATTGCAGTTTATTAAAACTACTAAAAGAAAATAAATCATTTCACGTCAAGGTTGTAATAATACAAAATGTGGTAAAGTATAGAAAAGAAAGAAAGTTTAAGTTGTGCATTTTTTTGTGCACTTTAATTCTCCATTATACTGTCTGTTAGATAATCATCCATGGGAACAATCAAGGCTGTATCCTTACAGAAATGTGCTCATTCAACAAAAAGTTGAAAATCAATTTTGTTAAATACCTTTCTAACACAAAAGGTTGTGTATAGCCACCATAGCTGTGTTCATTATAACACTCAGACACAATTCATTCTCATAGCTGATGCCTGGGAAACAAGCCCACATCAAGGGCAATGGTTGAAAAATTCATCCAGCGAACAATGTTTAAGCCTGACCTTCATGGATTTTAAAGATAATTTCTCTGAGCATTATACCACCATAACTATATTCAAACTAACCTCTTAACCCCTTAAAAACACAACTTCTGGAATAAAAGGGAATCATGACAGAATATTTCTGTCATGTGTCCTTAAGGGGTTAAAATGTTAAGCATGTGGACATCAAACCTGTTATAGGGTTTGGTAAATAAACATTTTATACATTTTAATGAGGTGATGTAACTGAACTACGTACTGTTCCTTTGAAGCATACAGGGACATTAAAGAACACAAACAAAGATTATAGTCAACTTCTAAGCTTTCAGAAATGTCAATAGCATTTTCCAATTACTGTAAGACAAACAATGAACACAGGCCAAAAGTGATTTTATAAAGTATTAAAAAGTGCAGCAGAACTTCATTGTTATACTCCCCCATATGTAATATAAAAGATAAACATTATTCTGTGTGTAATCTCTTAGAGAAATTATTTTTCTCATTAACCATAGCTGATGATTTCTGATTTTCAATCAGTGTAGCGGGTAATTCAGTTTAAAGTTTAAGATATACACTGATCAGCCACAACATTAAAACCACGTGCTTAATATTGTTAAGCACCCCCAACGTTCTGACAAAATAGCTCTGATGTGTCGAGGTACGGACTCCAGTAGACCTCTGAACATGTCCTGTGGTATCTGGCACCAAGACATTAGCAGCAGATTCTTTAAATCCTGCAAGTTGTGAGAGAGGGTCTCCATGGATCGGATTTGTTGTTCCAGCACATCCCACAGATGCTCAATCGGATTGAGATCTGAGGAATTCAAAGGCCAAAGTAACACCCTGAAAGCTTTGTGATGTTATTTAAGCCATTCCTGAACATTTTTGCAGTGTAGAACGGTGCATTATCCTGTTGATAAAGGCAACTGCCATCAGGGAACTCCATTGCCATGAAGGGGTGTATGCGATCTGCAACAATCTCTAGGTAGGTGGTACGTGTCAAAGAACATCCACATGAATTCCAGGATTCAAGGTTTCTCAGCAGAGCATTGCCCATATCACTGCCTCCGCCGGTCTGCCTTTTCTTCTCACTAACTATAGCAGTGCAGCCCCATAAGCAGCAAACTGTGATGCACTGTGTGTTTTGGCACCTTTCTTTCATGGCCAGCATTACGTTTTTCAGCAATTTGAGCTCCAGTAGCTCTTCTGTGTGATCGGACCAGATGGGCTAGTCTTCGCTCTCCATGTCCATCCGCTAGCCTTGGGTGCCCATGAACTTACTCGCCTGTTCTTCCTTGCACCACATTTGGTACGAACATCTCACAAGGCTGTTTTGGAGACACTCTGACCCGGTTGTCTAACCATCACTATTTGGCCCTCAAGTCTTTTCACTTGCCCAATTTTCCTGCTTCCAAAAAAAATTATATCCAAGAACTAAGTATTCACTTGCTGCCTAATTTATGCAACCCCTTGACAGGTGCCATTGTAACAATATAATTAATGTAATTCACTTCACCCATCAGTGGTTTTAATGCTGTGGCTCTGCCTTGGCAAAACTGGGTTCTGTGGCACATGAGGCAAAACTTGCACACCATATAACTTAAAGGGTAATCTAATCACCATAGACACTACAGCCTGTTGTAGTGGTTATGTTGGCTGGAGTCACTTGGCGCTGTCCCACGATAATGAATCAAATACATTTTAAATACTTTGGCACCTACTTGGCTCTCTTGGGTGCAACGGTACATACTCCCTTCTGGATTTCTCTAGAATTTTCATTCCACTTTAGCAATATCAATGTTATCATGGGAATATCATTATTTGGCTGAGCATGTCAGTTGATGCATGCAGTGGTTGTTATGGTGTTTACAGGGCCTTTACTACTTGTTAGTCATCCTTTGAAGGATGCAAGAACCAGTCTGCATCTATCAAATAATAGGATTATGGGGGTGGGGCCTGACAGCCAAGATGGCCAGAAGTGTTTCACACTAGCTCTTACAGATCAGACCCAAACTCTTGCCTTTTGAGCTCAAAATCCTGCTTTGGAACATAAAAGTTTGCTCATAGATGCTTGGACCTGGCAGCAAATCGACAAAGCAACTCTGATTACCAAGCTTGTACCTGACACGCATTTGTAGCACGCCTGGCCTCACGGCTTACTGAAGTGGCCATCCTGAAGGCCGAGAGAAGTGGCCGATCTCTTGGCCCAGGGACTATACCACATCTCAGCTCACGGTGGCCCCGTTGCTCCCCCCTCTTGGGCCAGTGGCGGATATCCCGTTCCCCACTAAGGCAGTTTAACCCCCACTGACCTCGTGCAAAACAGTGCAGAGCAGACCGCATGGTGGAGCAAAGATGGCCACCGCACATTTGCACCCACACGATACAACAAGCCCTGGAGGTCAGGAGTGGAGAGAACAATTTGAGGTAAAGTTTGATGCACTCTGCTCAAAATTTTGGCAACGCCTGCACAGCAAACCTCTAAAATCTGAGCAGTCACTGAAGCGACCCCTTGCACCAGGACAGAGGCAAAATCGATACTCAACCCTCCAGGTACTTCACCAGATCCCACAGCTACACCAGCTTCCCGTTACTCTTCTGGGCCGGGGGCCCGGGGGCCCTCCTGGAATGTAAACCAGGCTGCCATCCATACACCCTAAGGGGCAACCGAGCTAAGGGGAACCTGAGGGCACGAGATCCAGCCTCTGGCAGAAGGCAGATCCATGGACACGGGGCACTAGCCCCCTTTTAAGCCTGGAGCAGCAGAACATACACAGCGCCTGGCCGGAGGGGATGCATGACAGTCCTGAAGAGGATCAGTACTCCCAAGCCTGGACTGTCAGTGGCATAGGGTGATATGCTCTTAAAATACCCAGAGCGGCACCATGACAAGCTCCTACCCCCAGTGCTGAGAGAGGTGTCTCGCTTGCGTGCCTTATGTTTTCCTTTTTATTTTATTTGCCTCATGAAACCTTACGTTTATTTGATAACCTGACCAGTGGTATTACATAATCCTTATGCCAGAAGCCTATCTAGCTATGCTGAACCTTAAGGAACAAACGGTGTGTCTCTGTAGCTAGTAGTGCTTTGCATGTTTCTAGCTTAGCTTGTTAACCATGGGCGTCCGTGGGGCGGGGCACCCCTGGATTTTTCAGCTTGTTCTGCTATTTTTCGTGTGATTGAAAATGAACTGCAATACCAGCGCCGACCAGTAGGTGGCGCTGTGTATGGAGAATGACAGGCATAGGAAGCTGCATCTTATCCCTGCATCTCTCTGCTGATTGAAACCGCAGGGGAACAACACATGCAGCCAGCAGAGAGAGCCTACAGATCAGGTAAGTGAGGGATGGGGAAGGTTTTGAGATAGCCTATAGATTAGGGGAGTGAGGCTGGGGGGCAGCAGCCTATAGATTAGGGGAGTGAAGGGGGGGCAGCAGCCTATAGATTAGGGGAGTGAGGCTGGGGGGGCAGCAGCCTATAGATTAGGGGAGTGAGGCTGGGGGGGGGCAGCAGCCTATAGATTAGGGGAGTGAGGCTGGGGGGGGCAGCAGCCTATAGATTGGGGAGTAAGGCTGTTTGTGTGCTGTGTGTGGGTGTTGTGTGTTTCTCAGGGTGCTGTTTGTGTGTGAATGTACTGTTTGTGTGTGGGTGCTGTGCGGGTGTTGTGTGTGTGTTTGTGAGGATGCTGTTAGTGTGCTGTGTGTGTGTGGGTGTTGTATGTGTGTGGGTGCTGTGTGTGCAAGGGTGCTGTATGTGTGTAGGTGCTGTGTGTGCGTGGGTGCTGTTTGTGGGCTGTGTGTGCTGTATGTGTGTAGGTGCTGTTTGTGTGTGTGTGCTGTATGTTTGGGTGGAGGTGGGGGCAGATTAGTTAATATCCCATCCTGCTGCCTTCCCTGGTGGTTCAGTGGAGAGTGAACCCTAGCCCGGGTTCTCTGCTGCCTCCCTCCATGCTGCTGTGGGCTGGTGAGGTAGAGCTTTGATCTCCCCACCGGCCCATGGAGGCTTAGACCAGAGCCGCCGCTCGGATAGCCTGCCGTTCTCAATTCATTGGCGTGCCGCAGGGATTAGGGTGTGCCCAGGCACACCCGACACACCCCGTGCGCACGCCTATGGAAGTGAGGGATGGGGGAGACAGTCTACATGAAGAGTCAGCAAGGGTGTTCAGAAATGAACAGGAAGGGTCAGCAAGGAGCTGGGAGGTAAAGCAGCACAAAGGTAAAGTAGAAGGAGCAGAAAGGGTCAGAAATGAGCTGGAAGGGACAGAAGGAGCACAAACGTAAATTAGGAGAATGAGCAGGAAGGGCCTACAAGGAGCAGGAAGGGGCAGAAAGGAGCAGAAAGGGACAGAAGGAGCACAAAGGTAAAGTAGGAGACGGAGCAGAAAGGGACAGCAAGGAGCACCAAGGTAAAGTAGAAAAAGGAGCAGGAAGGGTCTGCAAGGAGCAGAAATGGATCAGAATGAGAAAGGAGCAGAAGGGCACAAAATAAGCAGAAAATAGCAGAAAGGTAAAGGAGCAGAAGGAGCCAAGGATAGAAAACAGTGTCAGAAGAAAAAGAAGACCGTCAAATGAAGGAGAGGAAAAGGAGATTGGAGCAGGAAGGACAAATGAAGTGAACCCTCCACTTTATTCTGGACACCACATCATAAGGCTTTGGTACTTGGGCCTGGCAGGGAAACTCTGGACCTTCTCATCTCCAAAGGTAAAAAAAATATCAGTATTAATGTGTTCACTTTTATTTACTGAGTGTCAGGAAGCACAGAGTGCCGTTGGGTAGGGTTGTTGCTGATTGGCTAGAGCGGTCAGCTGGCACTCTAAGCCAATCAGTAGCTCCCCATTCATAAAAAAGTAAAAAAAAGAAACTGCTATGTTTATGTTAGGGTTAATCCAGCCTCTAGTGGCTGTCTCATTGACAGCCGCTAGAGGGCCTCCGCGTTTCTCACTGTGAAAATCACAGTGAGATGATGCCAGCGTCCATAGGAAAGCATTGTAAATGCTTTCCTATGGACTGGCTGAATGCGCGCGCGGCTCCTGCCCTGGCCCTGGAGAAAGAGGTAAGTTTAACCCCTTCCTCTCCATCCAGCCCGGCGGGAGGGGGACCCTGAGGGTGGGGGCACCCTCAGGGCACTATAGTGCCAGGAAAACAAGTATGTTTTCCTGGCACTATAGTGGTCCTTTAAGCGTGTGTATACGTTTAAAAAAAATCATAATAATTTATGGCATGGGATAGAAGAAAGGTGAAATTGAACATAAAGATATAAACAATATTTTATATATAATAAATAAAAAATAAATGCAATCAAAGCAACTTATCAGGTTAAATGTCTAATAAAGCGTAAAGTAAAGAGGACATGTCTTGTTCCATGGCAAAAGCAAAAATAGTGCGGCAAAGAGTATATTGGTAAAATCTAAGTAAGCCCAGAAAATGCTGCTTTTGTAAGAAAAATGAGATTCAGCCTTAAGCAACGAAACCATGGAACATTGCCAGAAAGAAGAAATAGGTTTTAGCTTAGAAAAGACACAATAATCTATTACTTTATCAATGGAGTCGTTACCTAAATTTATATCTTGCTCAATAATTACATGTTATTGATACATTTAGCTAGTTGTTCTAGATTTGTTAATTACATTCGTGGCAGGTTTTGGTACTTAGAGGGTTTGTTCCAAAATAAGAACAAAATGTATTATATCAGATGTATGTGCCAGCTATTTCATACCGCTGGCCAATTGTTCTAAGGCTGGATTGTGAACTCCACCTAAAAAAGCCATGCTCTTGTCATATTTGTGGGATGTCAGTATTCAGACAAATCCTACACACCAGTACTGGGCAGTGTCCTATCAAGAAGGCATATACCAGAGACGATATGGACATATTGCAGTTTCTTAGAATGATTGGGCATAACCCAAAGTACTCCAAAAAGAGTGGATATACAGAGACAGGACCAAGTCAAGGTCAGCAATGACAGTGGTACACTAATTAAATAAGCAAGGCAAGTTCAGAATACCAGAAGTCTTAAAGGGATACAAATTTGTATTCCTAGCACTAAAGCTCCCTCATGCCCCCAACCAGCACTGCAATGGTTCAAAAAAAAGGAAAATCAGTCTCCAGTCATTGCAAAAATGCTTTCCTATGGGGTTTTTACAGATGCTAGATGTCATGCGGAGCTAGGTGGCCCTTCTGCTTGCTAGGTGGCCAAAAGTTACCAAGCAAAAGAGGCAGTCTTTACCCTGCAATGTAATTATTGCAGTTTCTCATAAACTCCAATAATTAACATTGCAGGGTTTAAGGGGACAGGGATGAATGAGATGAAGTGGTCTGGGTGTCTATAGTGTCCCTTTAATTAACGATCAACAAAAATGAAAATAAATAGGCCTAAGAGTGTGTTTCTTCAATTCTGCATCAGTTGCTCTGTGGTAGAATGTGGTGAAGTAAAATGATATCTGAGAATGTTTTGGAACAGGGCAAGTTCTAGCTGCATCAATAAAAGATGCAGGTTGGGAGCATCCTGTGTCATTACAGCTGAAAGAATGTAAAAACGATACAGCAAGCTGAGCATGTATCATGGCAGCTCTAGACTAAATGCTATCCTGAAAATCTGATGGGTCTGTAGCTTTAAAAATATAAAGTATGGCTGATTTCACAGTTGGACCATGTACCAATGCAGAACATGAGAATGTAAACCTAGCGATATCTCAGTAACTGTTCAGTAACAGATTGACTTCTTATTTGGGGGCCACCAGGCACTGCCCCACATCTGCTCTCCTTTCAGCATAGAGTAGGTGCAGAGCAGCACCCAGTGGACCTCAGTTAAGAAGTTCCTAATTAGTTTGGCTTCTTAGATTGGGGTGGCACCTTGGCACTATCTTTTGCACAACCCTGGCCTAAAGGCCCTGGCACAAAGCAATTGTCCACCACGTGGACTGGCTAATCAGACAAGGATAGCTTTCCAATGGTGGAACTTCAAGAGTGCAAGAAGCAGTAACATGTTGCAGATAACTAGCTGGTGGCCAGGTTTCATTTTAACAAGGACAGAAATAGGAAAAAAAAAAGCAGTTCTCTGCCGGAGGGGGCTGAAATACAGGGAAATTTCGAACTAGGATGCAGAAACCATACAAATTTTCCCATTAGAATATGGAACACAGCCAACCTACAACAAATGGAAAAAAAACTCAACATGGCAAAATGGGAACATGAATGAATTGAATATGACCTAGAATATAAACAAGACTAACATCCACAAGTGAGAATTCAAAGTGAACTTCAAATATAAGGCCAAAGTAGCTGAACTAGAAGTAAATAAGTTAGAGAATGTTTCCAATTCAACTATTTTAACCTTAAATTTGAAAGTCATGAATTCTCACTCTAGTGACCAACACTGTTAATGTATTATGAAGTACACAAAACACAATGAGGAAATGTCATCATCAGAATTAACTTGGAAACGGAAAACGGAAAGCATCGTACATTGTTCTCAGGAGGTGGGAAGGATTTACTAACATAAGCATGTGAGCAATGCAGCAAATACACCATGAAGGTGCCAGCTAAGGCTGGTAAACATTTAAAGGAACTATCATTGACAGTAAAACAACGATGCATGAATTGTAACAAAGGACCACTACATGGACACATGCAGCCCTGTGCTATGTGCTCATATGAGGAGCTACCCATTCAATACCTACCACATTTTAGCATTTCCCTGTTAGCATTTGGAACTAAATGATGTTTGTGTTTTGCTAATTTACATCTCCTAGAACTATCCTTGTTTTAGAAGATCATATTTTCAAGAAAGTAGTCTAACATTTTGGCAAGTGTTAACATGTTGGCCCTTTTCCTGGAGATACCACAGTATTTGATTTTCATCATATTTCTTTATACAAAATATTGTGAAATATGTTTTTACATTATGCAATTCAGTAGAAGGGGGAGGGGGATCAAATTGGAGTTATAAATATATGAAAAGATTTCATGAAAAAATTGATGCAGCATTTTAAGATAATTTACCATTGGTACCTGAAATAGACATTATGTAGAAGACAGTGTTATGAGATTTAGAAAAATTAAAAAAGTGAAGACATTTTGAGAAATCACCAGTAGGTAAAAGATGAGAATACCTTTCAAATGGGGATCAACTTTTTGGTCTAAGGGGGCAAGTACAAATCAACAGATTCAAATTGGCATGATTGACAGATTAGCTGCAAGTGGGTTGCCTCAGTTGTCAGGCAGATCCACCAACATATGAATAATAAAACATATACCGGTAATTATGTAATTAAAACACACAAATAAATAAAACACATATATATATATAATTATATATATATTTGTGTATGGCACATTTAGAGGAATGTATGGTATGATATAATGAAAGTTTAGTAACAGCAAAGTCAGTTGAGGTGTGCCGAAACTGACGTGAGGTTAAACCTGTAAAAAGAGGACAAAAAGTTTAAGAAACTATTTCTTTTGTCAGACATGTTTTTTTAAGCAATACATTATTTAGACATTTCACAGAAAGCTAATCTGATTTCTTTCTCTGGATTAGGGATGTACCTGTTGTATGCGGATGATTTCCAACGTCCCATATTTTTTTTATTTTTTTTATTCTTTATTTTTGCTCGTGCATGAAATGACAGAAGGTCCTACACTGCCCCAACAGCAAATGCCAGGATTTGTAGTACATTTGATGACACATGTATGATAACATTGAGGACTGTTAGGAACATTACTTTGCATCATTTGCGTTATCAGCACAAATTTTTATAGTTAAAGTATTGTAGCTAGTTAAACATAATATAATAAAAACGATTAAACCTAGTATCCATTTTGTAGAGGAGACATGAGTTAGTCATAACAATGTGGTTACCTACCATAAGTAAAACAGGTAATGTGGTAGCTCTGACGGTTAAAGCATCGAGAAACACTGACTGTCATGATACATTTAGTAAGGCTTCTTGTAATGTGTGTGTGTGGTCTATGTGGTCGTGAGGGATCTTTTGTTTGCAAGGGTGTACTTTTTGACAGACAATGTAATATATAAGACTAGCAGTGGTTAATGAAAAATAAATTAAAAAAGGGACAGAAGGAGCATAGTTGACCGTAGGGTGAGCGGTCCATGCGTCTGCTCTTATTGTTCTTTAGTGTTGTATGCCTTACGGGGCCTGTGGTTTCATGTGGGCATTCTGAGATATATTCAGTAGACAGGCCTTTGCCAGGGTGAAGGCTATCTTAATGTTATGTGGGTTGCCGTAGCGTTTTTCTTAGCGGGAGCGTATCACTCATTTACCCCTGAGTGCTGGGGGAGGGAGCGCGGGTGTGTTGTGTACCTCTTCTCATGTATGTTAAACAGCGCTATCAGGGGCGGACTGAGAACCCTCAGGGCCCCCGGGCAAAATAAATCAAGGGCCCCCTTACAGGCCCCACCCATACTCTGCAGCAAGCGCCACCCTTGTCCCACCTCCATGTACCGCCTCCAGCCACACCCTACACAATCTTTAGACACAAGGAACAAAAGGGCAATAAGCCCTTCAAGGCCCCAGTAGAAACTACAATTGAGGGCTAATGGGCCATGGAGGGGGGTCTTTCTAGCGGAGGCTATCTCAGTGTCCTTTAGAGAGTGTGTTAGAAAGAATCCCCTCCAAGCCCCATTAGAGACTACAATGGAGTCTAATAGGCTTGGAAGGTGGTCTTTCTAACAGAGGCCATCTCAGCGTCCATTAGATATCCCCTGCTGGAAACAGTCGCCTCCAGGCCCCAGTAGAGACTACAATTGAGGGCTAATGGGCCATGGAGGGGATTTCTAGCAGAGGCTAGAGTCTAATGGGGCCTGGAGGGTGGTCTCTCCAACACTCTGGTTCCTATTCACAATATAGCAACACAACATAGCTCGCTGATACCTAGGCCAAGTTGGCTCCTCTTACCTTAATTACTGTTGCTGGCTGGCAGTCTGTGGGCTTGCTGGCTGCGGCAGGCAGGCTGTGGGCTTGCTGGCTACTGCCGGCAGGCTGTGGGCTTGCTGGCTGCGGCTGGCAGGCTGCAGCTTGCTGCCTGCAGCTGGCAGGCTGAGGCTTGCTGGCTGCGACTGGCAGGCTGTGGGCTTGCTGGCTGTAAGCCTGCTGCTCCAGAGTAAGTAGTCAAACCGTTTAAGAACAGTTTGACAACTTACCTGGGGTCTGCTGGGATATGGGGCTGTAGTAGGGAATAGGAGTAGTGGTGCAATGTGTGTGAAAGGTTCAGTGTGTGTGTGGGGGTGTAGTGTGTGAATGTGTAGGGTGTATGGGCTGTGTATGTGTGTGGCAATGTTAGTATGGGGGGCTGTGTATGGGGGTCTGTGTGTATATGGGTGGGCAGTGTATGTGTGTGTGTGAGGCAATGTGTGTAAATGTGTATGGTGTGTATGGGGGCAGTGTGTGAATGTGTATGGTGTGTGTTTATGGGGCTAGAGGTCACTCTCACCACTGCGACCACCAGGAATCCCTGGGGGTCACAGTGTTGAGAGTGAACTCTAGCCCGTAGCACCAGGGCTAGAGTTGACTCTCGCAAGAGCGGTAACGTTGCCATGGTAACTGCGGCAACGCTCTGTGCTCGCGCAAGAAAGACCCAGAGGAGCTGCAGGGTGAGCTCCCAGGTCCTCTCTTCCTCCCTCCCCTGCCCGCACGGTGCCTGCGGACAGGGGAGGGAGGGCAATTGCCATGTTGCCCCCCTGGATCCACCAGTGATATATACAGCCCTTCTGTGTGCCTTTTTGTCTCCCCCCGTCCCTCTGTATGTTTCTTTCTCCCCCCTCCTTCCCAGTCTCTCTTACCCCTCTGCCTCTTTCTCCCTCTCTTCCACTGTTTTTCTCCCCCCTTTCCCTGTCTCTCTCTCCCCCCACATCTCTCTTCCTCTCTGTCTCTTTCTCCCCCTCCCCATCTCTTTCTCCCCCTGTGTCTCATTCTTCCCTCTCTTTCTCCCCCCTCCCCCAACTCTCTATTCCCCCTCTTTCTCCCCCTCATCTTCTCTATTCCCCGTGTCTCATTCTTCCCTCTCTGTCTCTTTCTCCCCCTCCTCTCATCTCTCTATTCCCCCTCTTTCTCCCCTGTGTCTCATTCTTCCCCCTCTTTCTCCCCATCTCTTTATTGCCCCCCCTTTCTCCCCATCTGTTTATTGCCCCCTCTTTCTACCCCTCCCCATCTCTCTATTCCCCCTCTTTCTCCCCCCTCCCCATCTCTCTATTTCCCCTCCCCATATCTCACGAACCCCCTCTTTCTCTGTCTCTCTGTTCTCCCCTCTTTCTCCCCCTCCCCATATGTGTTTCGCCTCTTTCTCCCCCCTCCCATCTCTCTTTTCCCCCTCTTCTCCCCACTCCCCATCTCTCTATTGCCCCCTCTTGCTCCTCCCTCCCCATCTCTCTATTGCCCCTCTTACTCCCCCCCTCCCATCTCTGTGCCCCCTCTTGCTCCTCCTCCCACCCATCTCTCTATTTCCCCTCTTACTCCCCCCCTCCCCATCTCTCTATTGCCCCCTCTTGCTCCTCCTCTGTCTCTCTACTCTGCCCCCCTCTTCTCCTCCCTCCCCATCTCTCTATTGCCCCTCTTTCTCAAGTCTGAGGGGGCCGGCCGCGTTTCATGCTGGAGCCGCCGGACCGGGTGGCAGCCTCGCCGGTCCGGCGGCATTCCTCTCACTAACGCTGAAGGAGGCGGAGCATGTCTCTCTGTCATGCTCCCTGCGGTTCCCACAATTCCCAGCACAGGATGTGGGAACCGCAAGGAGCATGACAGAGAGACATGCTCCTCCTCCTCCTCCTTCAGCGTTAGTGAGAGGAATGCCGCTGGACTGGAGAGGCTGCCACCCGGTCCGGCGGCTCCAGCATGAAACGGCCGCCCCCCTCACAGTGTGCCACCGGACCGGCCACCCGGTGGCACCTTCCTCTCAAGTGCCCAAATGCCGCCCCCAGTCCGACCGGTCAGTCCGCCCCTGAGCGCTATAAGTGTAGTGTTGCGGGAGGTGAAACTGGTGTTTGATCATTTAGAAATGTCCGTTGATAGTCACTGATTCATAACTTTCAACTCTTAACGGATGTAAAGAAAAAATACAGAAGGAAAAAGATAAAAAGGGTCCGCTTATTGTGGAGATTATTGTGGTGCGCCGGGCTGCGTGATTCTCTTGAATCAGCTGGTGTCGGCCTCAGTCCTTGGGACAAATGATACTACTCTGTCCACATCCCATATGCCTCTCCATCCGCTGCCGGGTTCCACCCGTGTAGCGAGGCCCAGCTTTTGCAGAAACGCCTCCGATTTCTCTGCCGAGGTGAGTTGATGAGTGTGTCCATCTTTGGTGGCCTGGTGGGTGCGGAGCTGGTTCCACCTATAGGGGATTCCTTCAGAGTATAGGGTCTGTGTGACCATCTGGAGAGACCTTCTCCAGGCCAGCGTGGATCTGCATAAGTCCTGCATGAATTGTAGGTGCATTTGTTCCGCACTGCCTCCTGGACTGCCATTTTGTCCCGGTTCAGCACAAAGCAGATCAGCACGGTGGTCCCTGCAGGGGCCCTGTTAGATTTTTGGAGACGGAAGCAGCCATCTAGTTGTATCCCTTTAGCCGAACGTTGAGGCAGCAGTGACGCCAGCAGACGGGTAGAAACTGTGGTAATTCTCTGTCGTCCACTGCCTCAGCTATGCCCCTTATTTTTAGATTGTTGCGCCTTCGTGTGTTCTCCAGGCTGTCCAGTTTAATCTGGATCGCTCTGTGGGCCACCTGCAGTTGGTGTATCTCTGTTGTGTTGCTGGCTTGTTGGTGAGCCACAGATGCAATGTGGTCCTCCGTGGCCTTTGCTCATGCCGAGATCCCTGCGACCTCTTCTCGAATTATGTCGAGGTCAGCGGTGAAGTATGCCCAGAGATTCTTCATGAGGGCCTGTATGTCGCCTTTCGTGGCTGGAGCTTGTAGGTCTTCAGGTGGTGATTTAGCTGCAGGCCCACCTGTATATGAAATTTTGTCCAGGGCGTCCATGTAGTCTTCCTCGGAGGAGGAATAAGGGGAATCGGGCACCGCCGCCATTTTGGTTTTAGGCCGCTGTTGTAACAGCTCGCTGATGAGCCTTCCCCAGCAAGGGTTTTCAGTTTTTTGGCTTTCTTCCCCATATTTAGCAGGGGGTATTGGGTGTTTTGGTTGCCGAGATCAGGTGTTCAGTCTCCTTAAAGTCGATGTCTGTGTGTTTTTTTTCGCCAGAGCTCAGCCGCCATGCGTCTGCTCCCTTCAGAGTCGAAGCCACGCCCCCCCAACGTCCCATATTTTTAACGATATGTGTTGGTACGTAATTACTGGAAGCTGCTGTGGCCGCACCAATACGGAATGAATGGCCAGAGAATGAATGCGGGTTGTGTCCTAGCCTGAGTAACAACGTACGAATGTAAAGCATGAACTGCTAGGTGGTTAGGGGTTTCCCTTGAATGGCTAATAGTGGAGATTTGGGGTCAGTAGTAAGCTGTGTCTCAACTAGCTTATGCACAATGTGGATTGGACACCACTTGGTAGAAGTAGGGTAATATTTAATCTCTACTGGTGGGCCAGTCTGACTCGTTTTGGTATGAGAAATTGACAGGATATAGTGGTCTTGTGTTTTAGTTAGGTGTTTTTTCTTAAGGCATGATTTAAAGTCGGATGCCTTCTCCACAGAAAATACTTTAGGTATCAAGAAACCGTAGAAAGCTATGTAGGCTGCGGATTTGATTATCGGGTTAGTGACCTTCTCAAAAGGGGTCTCGTCTAGTAAATCGTAGATGTTCCTAAACAGTATACTATCTATTGGAAGTCTTTTAATAGGATTATGAACTGTTAGCCTCTGAATACCTTTAAGGACACTTTTTTTAAAAAAAATTTGTATTTTACTGCAAGGAGCATATGTGAAGGGAACAGTAAGCTGCTGAACCAAAGCAATTAAGCACCACCGTAGGTTGAGATTGTAAAATGTGAATAAATCACCACAAAACGAAACAACATGTGAGATAACAATGACGCATAAATGTCTTGAATTCTTCCAATGTATAAACAATTGTACTAACACATTGAATTGTGACTGTTTCCCCTCCCTCCTTTTTTCTTTCTGTACCCCACTCCCACGAACCCTCCAGTTGTGCAAAACAGTAAAATACAAATTTAAACAAAAATTGTAAATTCCCATTGCCCGGTCTGTTTTGAGCTGTGGAAAGATTGGTATGTCTGGAGGAGTTTATAGCATCCCAATATTGGTTTGAACCCAGGTGGAGGTGTTCCCGATATCTCTATTTATTCCCAGAGCGAGAGTACTCCCGGCGTATGATTGCCAGTGGGCCTTGCCTTTCTTTTGCGGCTGAGGAATGACTTGAGTTGAACATATGAGAACTGTGATGTATATGGAAGGTCATAGATGGAATGGAGTCTTGGAAAGTCTAATAGTTTGCCTGATTCAAAGGCATGTGATAAGTGGGTGGCTCCTTTCTCTTTCCACAGCGTAGCATGGAATGTTGAGATGCAGTAGGTAATGGCTTCTATGGGGTCGCTAGAGAGAGAGGGCTAGCTGTTTCAAATTTTTGCTTATGCACATCCCAGAATTGTATTGCTAATTTGAGTTAAATTGGCATGAGTGGGGTGTCTGGTCTAGTCTTTTTGTCTAGTCACATCAGGTTAGGGATATTGAAGGGTTTGATTGCCAAGTTTTCCATGTCCACTCTTTGGGGCTGGTTGGCTCTAATGAGATGTGTTGCTAGGGAAGTTAGGACTGCGGCCTGGTAATATGATTTAACATTCTGAAATGCCATGCCCCCTTGATTCACTGGTGCTGATAGTATTTTGTGTGATACCCTTGCACTCCCTGCTCCCCATGTAAATTGTATTAGTTTGGATTGGATGGTCTTAAAGTAGGATTGTGGTTCTCGAAGGGGGAGGTTTCTGAATAGGTATTGGAGTTTCGGTAGTATGGTCATTTTGAGTGTTATTATACGTTCGGTCCATGTTAGGAATAGGTGACCCCAGGAACGTAAGATAGCTGTGCAGTCGTTACAAAACTTGGTGTAATTATTTGGGAACTTTTCAGCGGCATTCCTACTAAACGTTAGTCCCAAATATTTTATATTGTTTTTTCGCCATTCAAAGTGGTAGTATTTTTTTAATCTTGATAATATTTGTGGGTCTATGCGGAGCCCTAACGCTTGGGTTTTGGTGGTGTTAAGTGAGTAGTATGATATGTCCCCGTACTCCTTAATTAAGCGCATTACGTGGGGTAGGGATTTTTCAGGTTGGGAAATGTAGAGGAGAATATCATCGGCGAATGCGCCGATTTTTATCTGCCTGCCATGCCAGTCAATACCTTTTATTTCGGGTAACTGCCCCCATAAACACACTACACACACTGCCCCACACACACTGTCCCACAAACACTGCCCCCATACACACACTATACACATTGCCCCATACACACACTGCCCCACAAACACTGCCCCCCATACACACACTACACACACTGCCCAGCAAACACTGCCCCCATACACACACTAAACACACTGCCCTGCATCCCATACACACACTGCCCCCATACACATACTGCACACCCATACACACACTGCCCAACAAACACTGCCCCCCATACACACATTGCCACACATACACACATTGCCCACACACACATACAGTGCCCCCCCATACACACTCCTCCAAACACACATACAGTTCCCCCCCATACACACACTGCAACTCTCACACACACTGCACCGCTCACACATACACACTGCAACTCTCTCACACACACACTGCCCCACACATACACTGCCCCTTAACACACACACTGGAACCATGACATAAACTGCCGCCCTAACGCACTCGCACACACACTTCACCGCTCACACACACACACTGCACCTTTCACACACACTTCACCCCTAACACATACCACTGCTCCTATACCCTATATCCCAGCAGACCCCAGGTAAGTTGTCAAACTGTTCTTAAACGGTTTGACTACTTACTCTGAGATGGGATCCTGGCACTACTAGCACCATAACTACTACACTGAGCTGTAGTGGTTATTGTGCCTGGATTATTTCTTTAAATAATCTACAAGTGCCCCTCCCGAGATCAGGCTCTGGATCTGCCCCTGCACAGTATTCCCCCCTCCTACACACCATGACCCCGCTCCCTCACAGTATCACCCACCTCCCTCACAGTATATCACCTCCCTCTCAGTATTACCCCCTCCCACACACTATCGCCCCTATATCCCACACACTATCACCCCCTCCCACACCAGATCACCCCTTCCACACACAAACAAACTGTCACCACCTCACACACACAGTATCATCCCCTTCACACACAGTCACTCTCCCTTATACACACTGTCACCCCTACAATGTGGTGTCACCATACTCATACACTGTCACATTCCCACACATTGTCACCCGTCCTCACACTGTCACCCCCTCCACACTTTCAGCCCTTTCATTCATCCACACTCTCACTAACCACTCATAGTCCTGTTAATCTAACCCCCTCCAAACTCACCTGCCCTCTCTTTGCCACACTCATTAACCCCCTTAATCCTGTCACACTCCTTCCTCCAACCATGCCACATTCACCCTTCACTCCAAAACTGTAATACTCACCCCACCCCAACTATGCCACACTTACCGTCACTTAAATTTTCATTTTTGTTTTCAAGAACCCCTTCACACCAGTACTTATTTATACACGACTGCCGGGCTATGCGACCATACCCCACAATTGTGTATAAACGATTGGCATAATTGCAAATTAAATTTATTTATTGCAAATTAATTTTGTTTGCAAAATGTACTACAACTATAGCCAGAGAGCTCACAATGCAGGGGCACAGGAAGCTCTGACATTGCAAGCTTCTGAACAATGAATGCAGAGACTGACTCTCTGTATCCAGTGCTGCAAGCACGCCTTTCGATATAGCAAATGCTCCTTACACTTATACAAAATACAACCCTATTATTTTATACTTTGGGTGTAAGTGGGGCCTCATGCTTGAAGTTCGCCTAAGGCCTCATAAAGTCTAGAGCCGCCTCTGTTTAATAGTTATATTTTTTTAAAGGAATGGTTAGTAAATCTAATTTATTTTTTTACTCATTTCCATCACACATTGGTATTGTCTTTATTTTATCAAGCATTTATACTGCAGGGTAAATGTCAACTTCCTAACAACATTCGTGTATCACTAAATGACATTTTACATTTGACTCATGCACACAGCTCACTTCAGCATATTTAGCATTCCCCTTCCATAATCTCAAGGGTAAACACAGGTATAAATATTAAAAATAGGAAAGTAATGTCAACCTCTGGCAAAGAAAAGCAGGCTTTTATGAACTGTTAACAACACTGGGCCACACATTGTTTTAATCCATTTTAAAAAGCAATTAAAATTAACACATTTTATATTTTACACTGGGGTAGGCAACCTCAGTCCTTCAGTGCCTCTAACTGGACAGATTCTACAGAAAAACAGAAACATCAGATTGTGACTGTAAGGATTTTCAATTTTACTGAAGCAGAGATACAGCTATATTCTAAATTATTGTCGGTTCCAATGAAGTGGAATGGTTCCGTCCAAAGATGGTCACATTCTATTCTATCCCACTATCTACTGTAAAGGAAAGAAAGTCCCAAGGATTTGATTTTCGTGGTGATATGGTGCATTGAAACTGGGAGATCATTATATCCTTGGTCTTTTGTCTGTTTAATTTTAAATCATGACAGTGCCAGGTATATGTTAGGATGAACCCTCACCCGAATTCAACAGATACTGTGATATCCAGTCCTCAACAGCATCCATACACCATATCGATAAAACATTGAGGATTAATGTATAAAGCTGACCCCAAACATTATCTGTGATATGGTCTACTGCCATGATATATTACTAAAATTAATAAAAACTAATTGGGAGTGCACACATTCAAGGTTGTGGGATTCTGCACAAGGGTGCTTCATGAAGGGGTGGGGGGAATCCCCAAGGAGTTCAATAGAGAAGAGATCTCATGCACACCAGGTAGCTTCCCACAAAGGTGGGTTTTATTGGTGAATAAGGTATAGCAATGTTTCGGCTCATGTATAGAGTCAGTAGAGCTATTATTAACACAATATGTTACATTTGAGAGGCATTTATAAAACATAAAGTTGTGCTGACATTTTCCAGATTTAGACATTTTGACAAAATCAAACCCAATATGGGAATCAGCCATGGCCACATTACCTCTCAACTCCTCAATTAAATATTTCTGGATCAAACCATGTAGAGTTCTGTGTCGTGTGTACTGAGATGTGGTGGTTATTGGGACTTTATGCTCCTCTGCTTCCTGCACATAAACTGGAAGCTTAAAGGACCACTCTGGGCACCCAGACCACTTCAGCTTAATGAAGTGGTCTGGGTGCCTGGTCCTTCTAGGGTTAACCCATTTTGTCATAATTATAGCAGTTTCAGAGAAACTGCTATAATTATGAATGGGTTAAGCCTTCCCCCAAAGCCTCTAGTGGCTGTCTCATTGACAGCCACTAGAGGCGCTTGCGTGCTTCTCACTGTGATTTTCACAGTGAGAGCACAGCGTCCATAGGAAAGCATTGTAAATTATAGACCGGCTGAATGCGCGCGCAGCTCTTGCCGCGCGCTGCGCATTCAGCCGGCGGGGCGTAACGGAGGCGGAGAGGAGGAGGAGAGCTCTCCGCCCAGCGCTGGAAAAAGGTAAGTTTTTACCCCTTTCCCCCTTCCAGAGCCGGGCGGGAGGGGGACCCTGAGGGTGGGGGCACCCTCAGGGCACTATAGTGCCAGGAAAACGAGTATGTTTTCCTGGCACTATAGTGGTCCTTTAATAGATTTGACTTTAATTGTGCTGTAGAATTACTGTTTGTCTTTTAAAATCCCCGAGAGATATCCCTAGTTTTATACAATATAAAAATACAAATAAATATATGTATTATCACTAACAGTTTTTTTTTGCATAGCTTCCAGACAGTGGGCTACCCAATGAGCCCCTTGAACATGCGGGCCTTGGTGGGGGCTACTGCCTTTAGAGAACATAGACCTATAATGGGATGTTGAGAAGATTACTGCATATTTTGTGTTTAGTGCCCTTTATGGCCAGGTCACTGAAAATACCGGAGATATCAAATCATGAAACTGCATCCTTAAACAAACATCTAGGCGCCATGCCATTGATTGGTTATAGAGCCACTAAGCTATACAAGTTATAGAGCCATTTAGACTGCTCTGCTAAGAACTTGCTAGATAGCAGACTGGGTGCAAAAATATTCCAGCAGTTGGAAAAAAGTGTTCTAGAGCAGTTTTTGCAAAAAAATAAAAAACTAAGTTCTTTAGGAATACATAGGCTTATGGTAATGTACTTCAGATTCCATATAATTACATCCTAATTCACAGAGATAGAAATATTTGATTTTGTTCTCTATAGAAAATGATTTGCTCCATACTGAGATCTAGGTGCCTTTACCCTGTGGTTGCTTTAAATGAACACTCATAGCACCATTTCCATCACACCTCACTTTAGTGGTTATGGTGCCAGGAACCCTACCCCCCCCCCCCTTCCATTGTAGAGTGTCAAACACCATCTTTGGTGCAGGCTGATGGGAGTGAGAGGTCTGGAACAGGTCTTCGTGCTTCTTCTCCTCTCCTTTCCCCTCACCTCATGCTGCCTCTGTGCTGTCTCTCTGCAAAAAGCTGGAAGGAAGTGACAGGCTATCACTTCCTCTCAGCCTGCCAACACTACAGGGGCCCTGTCGTGGTCTTATAGGGCACAGCACCCAACCGGGACCCTGCTTAGAAGAAATGTTTTCCAGTGATTTCATAGCACCGGGGAAACATTTCGCAATGCCCCTGTATACACAGGTTGGGAAATGACTGCTGATCTAACCCATGCACATTAGTAATGGAGGCCAATCCCAATGATTTGACTCCTTATAATGGTGTGGAGGTGCCAGAGGATTCTTGACACCATAATCACTAAAGCTAGCTGTAACCGATATGGCGCTTGGAATGTTCCTTAAATTATAAAGGAACCACTTATGCTAAATTATTATGAATCATTGGTATAAAAGTATTATAAATCATTAGTATAATGAGAGGATTTGTAGGATTTGTATGTAAACAGTAAATTGTGATAAACTGTCAACCAAATTAGAAAACTTAGGTGAAATTACTTAGGAAACTATTTTTGGCCTACATTTTGCAATTCAGTTGTAAGTGAGTTTAGGACACAACTCAATCAATTCAAGACCGTTATAAGTACATGCCAATAGTAAATGGCACTGTCCAAATGTGTACAGAAATAGAACTATATAAATTAGTTTAAAATTAACAAGAAAATCAAGAATAAAACGAAATATTGTTTAAATATTTTATCACTAACAGGTCTGACGTTATCTATGCTTATCAGCTAAGCTGGCCACATGATAATTTAGAAGCATATAAAAATGAAATTGAACAGATTGATTAGATACCTGAGATCTTTAAAAACATAAAATATATACTCACATCAACATTACTGAAAATGATCCAAAATATTTTAGAGCTACGTACTTTACACTTATAACCAACAAACTAAAAATGTTCTACCTATTCTAGGGTATGAATGTGGATTTAGGTGACTTTTTGGATCTAGAGCATCTGGATTCAGTTCTGTAATTTGTTTTAGCTGGAAATATATAGCTAACTGTTGCTAGTTTCAAGTATTGCGTATCCTTGGATATAGGTGTTATTATTACCAAGTTCAGTGAAACTTGTGTTACTGATTCTAGAGTGATAAATGGCCGAGCAATCCCTGGAAGGAATAGGATGGGCTATCCTATGAATTCTGCACTGGGAAATGCTGCTGCTGGAACACTAGTCACTTAGCTATCTCACTAGTTTGATAGGGGAAATCAGCAACAGTAGAATAAGCCAATTCGTGGATTTCTTATATATTTGAAATGCAAGAAGACAAAAGTATTGCTGTTTTTTTTTTTTTGCATGTTGCACTAGATATTGCTTGAAGAACTGATTGGCACACTTGAAACAATCCAGGATGGAATTTAGTTGACTGTGCAAGAATGGTAAACTTGCAAAGTCCACAAATAAATTATTGAGATTTTGCACAGTGCGTCACAAAGTATCACTGTGATAAAAGTTAGGTTTAGTACTTAATTGTGAGGAGCTATTATGGTGAAAGTTTAGGATTCTAAATTTGTGAATATAACACTCAAATCCATTTCACCTAGAGAACCATTTCTTAACAACAAACACGATTAATTCAGTCTGTGTCTATCAAATCCCTTCGGTTCCTGATTTCTGCATGGTTTTTATGCACTGCTAGAAATCTCTTCCTTTTTATCATGTCACCATTGGGTAAGTCAGTGTCCCAAATATATTCTGGCGAAAGCACCTTAGTTGGTTTATTATACGCCATGTACTTATTAAGATGAGATTCCTCTTGCCATACAGCTTCAATGTTCTTTTTCTTGTCTGCTACGATACCGTTTTGGCACGCTGTGCTGAGTTTGTAAATTTCTTCAACTGTCCCCCCATAAAAAGCTGCCATATAATAGAAGTCCCCATGCCCGTAGGGTATGAATGCTTCAGAGATCTGGCGACGTTCATATGAAAAACTGTGGGGTTCTACAAGGAAATATCCTGGGTGTATTGTAGCCACTCTATCCCCAAGTATTTCAACACCCACATGATCACCAAACACCATGTCTACATCTGCACACACCAGGTAGTCTATCTCTTGTGGCAGTTGTTCACGAGTCAGATTGGTAAGGACTTGCATTCTCCTCATAGATACATCCTGCCAACGTTGATCAGCAGTCACCTCCATCAGAGACAAAACACGTTTTTCAGCTAGTTTAGGTTTCTGGACTTCAGCCACTTTGTCCGTAAATACATAATATCTAACTTTGTGACCAACCATAAAGTAACGTTCTGCGGACTCCAAGAAAGGCCCCAGGAACCGAATATATCTGCAAAGAGAGCAGAATGAATAATCATTATTCTGAAAGAAAAACAAAACCTATTGGCCTCTATTTAATTTTGTTGCGAAAAATATTTATATTTATTTATATATATATATATATATATATATATATATATATATATATATATATATATATATATATATATATATATATATATATAGATTTTGTTTTTATATATTTTACTATTTTGAAAAAATTATTTAAAAGGTTTATCCAAAAATATTAAATTGAGGCCATTGTAAGAGCTTCTTTCTTAGAGCTCATTTCCAACCTTGACTTCGATTTCATTTTTCAATGTATCAAATGTTAGTCACCCTGTGATCGCAACATTTTATACTACAGAAAAAGGTTTCCATAAACTATCATCCATAACACATGAAAAAGTGACAGCAAAAAAAAATGCACGTCATACCGTGTTTACAACATTAATATTATGTTACAGTTAAAGTGAGAAATCAGTTAATGTGCACATTACCTAGTTAATCTGTAGATTAACTGATTTGCTCAGTTAAAGTGCGGAATCAAGAGTTTTCTGCACTTTACCTAGGTAACGTGCACATTAACTGCTTCCGTCTAGTTAAAGTGCAAAATGTTTGTTTTTTTCACTCGGTAAAAGAAAAAATTATTTATTACAAAAAACAATGTTCTTGCAGAACCTGTTTCACCCTTTCAGTGCAAAATGTTTGTTTCTTTCCCTCGGTAAAAGAGCAAATTATTTATTACAAAAATAAAGGTCCTTGCAGAACCTGTTTCACCCTTTCAGTGCAAAATGTTTGTTTCTTTCCCTCGGTAAAAGAGCAAATTATTTATTACAAAAATAAAGGTCCTTGCAGAACCTGTTTCACCCTTTCAGTGCAAAATGTTTGTTTCTTTCCCTCGGTAAAAGAGGAAATTATTTATTACAAAAAACAATGTTCTTGCAGAACCTGTTTCACCCTTTCAGTGCAAAATGTTTGTTTCTTTCCCTCGGTAAAAGAGCAAATTATTTATTACAAAAATAAAGGTCCTTGCAGAACCTGTTTCACCCTTTCAGTGCAAAATGTTTGTTTCTTTCCCTCGGTAAAAGAGGAAATTATTTATTACAAAAACGTCATCGCAGAACCTGTTTCACCCTTTCAGTGCAGTCTCTGCAGAGTCGTTCACTTCTCGTCTGAAGGCAGAAAGATTCTGTGTGAACCTGTCTCGATTCTTTTTGTGAACAAGTTCCTTTCAATGCCTTACACCATCAAATTCTGAAAGCATAGACGCATGGCTTGTTGCTTCTCAGAGGGGGGCTGGCTACTAACAATGCTGCTCCGTAAGTCAGAGAAATACTTTTCTCATTGAGGAGAATGAGACCAAGGAGAGGTCTGCTCATGG